TTTTTTTTTTTTCCCGGAATTTTCAGAAAAGTCAACTTTCATCTCTGAATAATGGAGTGCAAGGTGTGAATACAATTATCGCTTGAAAATCAGTAGCAAACGATGAACCCCTGATATGCTGTGGTTGGCCATACGCCGCTAAAGCCAATCCACCCTTTGAAGCAGTAATAGTTGCCGCGTTCCACCGCTTGCGTGGCAGGTGTTTCGGCGAGGACGCGTGTCTGTCCGTCCCAGACATCAAGGCCGTCGTCGTGGTGCAGCCGCCCAGTGAACCGAGAATCACCATTACGGGATCCGATCGACTCGTCAGAGCCGCCGTTGAGCTTGGCGCTTCGCCGGGCATGGCACCCTTCAAAGAGCTTTACATCACCAGCACAGTCATGAAGGGAGACGGCTTTGGTGGATGTGAGATGTCGGAATGTGCAGCAAACGTCTAAGCTAGCGTTGTTGGTACTCTTTGGCTTATTGTTGGATTTTGTCCACGCATGCAGCCCACAGGCCAGCTGTTATGGAGGTGATGCATAACTTGGACTACTGTGATATTCTGGTGATCGGGAACGAGCTGAATCCCCAAAGCGAGAGCCTGCAGATTCCTCACAGTGCTCTGCTGGGAAAACACCTGGACGCCACCAACTCCACCTCGGGAATGTCAATATATGGTTAGTTTTGCAAATATTGCCTTTCGGCAAATTCACGTCTTCAATCTTTGTGTTTCATGTTCATTCTGTATTCAATGTTCGCAGCCTTTCTTTCCACAGAGTAACCCCCCAAAAAATCTGAGGAGGCCTTCGTGTTCATTAAAAACATTGTTGTAGTGTTGAAAATTATTTTTTGTAATCCACTATACCTTATGCACGCTGTAAACATTAACACTGAGCTTCAATATAGGAACAGTAAAATAATAATAAAACACTGACAGAAGCACTTCTGACTACACGACAGCTTTTGTGCTCTCGATGTGGTTGAGATCAGGGGATGGTGATGACACCCATACCAGGAGTCTTTCTCCCTTATGTGCGAATCACCTTAAAGCTTCCTTGTTTTGTTTTTTTTTTTTCCTCCTCCACTGTAAGATGCCGGATTGTCTTGCATAGGTATTATTTTATTACTGCAGGCACTGTTTCTTTATTATTATTATTATTATTATTTCTATCTATCTATCTATCTATCTATCTATCGATTTATTTTTTTAAGACCATGGTAGGAAAAGGTCTGTTGAAAACTCCACTTATGATGTAGAGGTCATTTGGACGCCCTCAGGCATCCTAAAGGGTCGACCATCACACTTCCTTTTAGGCCAGCAGAGAAGATCGCTCCGTTAACTCCAGAGACATTCCAAGGACGCCAGAGAGCCCAGAAGCTTGCTGCTGACCTTTTTTTTTTTTTAAATAGCTGCTCTCTCAGTTTGATCCATTCTTCAAATTTGCCTCACTGAAGCTTTCCTTAATACATTTTTTTTTTACTAATGGCAGCGCAAATAGTCACACGCAGTGGAAGCCTCTTCTCGGCCATTACACCAGCAATGAATTCATCCCATATTCCGTAGCGCGTAGCTGCTTTGCAAATCGGACGTTAAGATGGCGCAAACTACGGCCGCGGTTCATTATTTGAGGTTTGGACCCTCGAAACGTCCACTGATGTCATGACTTTTGCAAGTTGCTGGACTATGTCATCACCCGAAAGAGCCTTCTTCCTCCCTCACTATGCATGAAGAGTGTGACTTAGTTAACCATTTTATGCACCAATAATGATAACCTGTAACCTGATAACATGATAAGATGTCCACTGTAGTAACCGCTGTCCCTGAAAGGGTTAATAATCCCTTTGATCTGCAAAAGTAAAAGCTATCTGAAATTTTTCGCAGTGGTCTATATGGACAGGAGAATTGGCATACAAAAAAAAACCCCTCAAAAAAAGAAATCTCAAACTTGTTTGTTTCCCCCTAAATCTGACATGCACAACAGATTACACTGTGCAATTGTTGGCTTTTTGTCCCCACGTTGAGTAAAAGTTATTAAAATAACGGTGGTCCTTGTTAACCGCGGGTTAGGGTTAGCATACAGAAAAAAACCAACTTCCTTTTAAGCTTTAAAATACTCCTCCCACACACTTAAACGTATCTAACTCACCATTTAAACATATTGTAAACATCTTTGATTGTACATTTTTAGATGCATTTGTTTAAGCCTTCCTGCCCATTCATCTTGTCATGGCATTAAAAGTGATTTCAATACACTCTTCAATTGTATTCCAACAGAGAGGCTAACCACAGGGATCTGTGCCTGACCTCCTACAATAGGTGAAAAATGGCAAAAATGAGAGACCAGAAAGAAACATTTCTTTTGACGCCAAAATATCGAACGAAACTACGGTATTCCGTCAAACATCTTCACGCTAACATAGTAGCAAGTGTAACACAATTGAGGGGCTAAAAGAAAACGAGCAGAGAGAGTTACAGTAATGTTCAAACGACTACTACCTTCAACGCAGACATCAAACTCATACTGGAGTTCAATTGGAGACCTTCTCTGCCAACGTGTCACTACATTCCTACTGCTCATCGGGCCTTGCCTGCATATGTCACGGTTCTGTTTTCGGTCTGGCCAGCAGGTGGCATGAGCGGACTTCTGGGTGCACACCTGCGGCCAATCTATTATTATTAGACTCTGTATTTAAGGACTCTTCTGCGGTGCACCTGTTGTCGGAGTATTGTTTATGCTTTGCTGCTTCCTTGCTCATAGACCCTTTTGCTGTCGATCTTGTCGTTGTTTCGCTTAGAATTCTCGGTACTATTGATATTGTAAGTATGGTTTTTATTTTTTGATTCGGCTTTTGCTTGCGTGTATGTTGATACATTTGTTTTTCGTTTGTATTTCTCGGTTCTTGTTTTCACCCCTTGCCTTTTGTGCAAGCGCTTTTCGTTAATTGTTTTTTGTACTCCCTGGTCCGTTTGGACCAGCGTTTTATGTTACTACTTTATACTTTTTTGTATATTAAAACATTTTTGCTACGGAGACCTTGTTGGTGTCTACACTTTTTGGGATTCCAAACTTAATTCGGCTTGTCCGAATCGTGACAGCATACTGTAAATGCTAATGCTCAAATATCTGCAAGGTTGTGGGCGGACACTCAACTGTAATCATTTTCTGCCCAATTCTGCGATTTCCTGATTGGGAGTCTGTCGTGATGCTACATGAAAGCATTATTGTGTTAACGTGGATTTGTGTGTGCTTGTTTGTGTGTGTGTGTGTGTGCGCAAGGTGTGGACTCCATGGCCCACTATGAGCAGGCACTTCGTCAGGTGAGCTACAGGAACTGGCGACCTGCCACCCTGACTGAAAGACGGTTCCGACTCACCTGCTCGGAACTTAACGGCCGTTACACCAGCAATGAATTCATCTTGGAGGTTATTTTCACTTTTTCATAAAAGCTCCACTTTTTCTCTGCCTGCCTTTGAGGACACGTCACTCTTGATCCCAAACGATTATCTCGAGCGGCTTGCCATCTTCACCCTCTTCCGCTCGACGCTCTTGCATACGCAATCTGTACGACGGCAAGTGTTCTTGTGCCACTTCAGGTCAGTGTTATTCACCACGCAAAATCGGCGGAGCGTGTCATGGCTGCTCAGGCGCAGTACATGAGACCCCTTCATCAGCCACTCATGATACATGCGCCTCACTCCCACATGTCAGGTAAGACTTGGACTGGCTCTTAAGGTCAACACTTTCCAAAAAGTTCCAACATATAACGCAGAATATCACAACCCAATTCCAGCAAATCCCCAAATGTTCCTTTTTCCTTCTTGGCCAGGACCAGCACCTTCAGCAGCCACAGTCGTGATTGTGGTGTGCATCGCCGCCCTGGTGGTGATCGTGGTGATCGGCGTGTACAGAATCCACACGACTCATCAAGAGGGCTGCAAACAGGAAGAGGATGGAGCCAGAGAGCCTGAGCTGGACTGGGAGAAGTCTGCGCTCAACATCACGGTCAACCCCATGGAGGTAACCGCCTCACCTTAACTTCATTACCGTATTGGCCCGAATATAAGACGGCCCTGATTATAAGACGACCCCCTCTTTTTCAAGACTCAAGTTTGAAAAGACTTTTTGAACACCAAATTAATTTTTACACAGAAAATAATTACCGTACATGTGAAACAAATTATTATAACGATATATTTGAGAGAAAAAGCATGTTATTTTTCCTCATTCAAATCTTAATATCTGAACATTTAAATATGTAAACTAGAGTGCAATCACATTCGTAAATGAATGGCATCTGATTTTTTAAATGTAAATTACATCATAACTTCTCCTCAGCTGCCGGTTAACCTGGCCGATCTTCGACCCACTTTTCTCTAGATTGTCGCTACGTTTCTCCATTTTCTGTTATCTCTTCTATGATTTTCTTTCTTACCGCAATTTTTTATTTTTCTTCTTTGTGCTACCGCTATTATTATTCTTCATGACAGGGGTTCACTTTAGCGTGGGGAGTCAAGTTCAGCATTTGCTTCAATGATATCTGGCGTCATCTAGCGTCGTGAATGGGTATAATGTCTAGACCCCGAATATAAGACGACCCCCACTTTTTCAGTCATATTTCAATGCAAAAAACACCGTCTTATATTCGGGCCAATACGGTACTTTCCGCCACTGGAAAAGCGTTCCACGTCAACATCATTTCTGATTTTGAAATCAGAACGTGGGAGGCGCTCAAGCACTCAGCGAAGAAGCGAGTGGCGAGTTGTGTCGGGAGGAAGAAGAGGATGAAGAACACGTGGGAGGAATGGCAAGTGCAGAGTCGGATAACAGCGATGACGACGATGAGGAGGAGGAGGAAGATGAGGGGGAGATAGAAACGGCAAAGGAGAAGAAACTCAAGTGGCGCACTTCCTCCACAACTTACTGAGCGCACACATACAAGCAACATATTTCTGCACATATACTGGACACATCACTCTCTCTCTCTCTTTCTCTCTCTCTCTCACATACACACCCCTCCCTCCCAACACACAGAGGGGCCCCTGCTGTTATTTCCTTGCAAACGTTCCCCCCTGCTGGACAGAGTTTGAACTGCAGTCTAACTGGTGATGAAGGAACTCTACGCAGTCTTGGGTTGTTACCATGGCACTGGCAGGGTTCCGCTTCCACAGTCATGAACAAGCATGGCGTTAGAGTATATAGTTGGGGCCCTAGTTGTCACACACTACTCAAAAAAAAGCTGGGAATATCCGGTGAAATTTCAGGATCAACCAAAAATGTGCCGCAACCTTGACAGTGTTAACTTTCTATAAACTTTTATCATGGGTGTACGATCCACGAAAATGCCCAAGTAGGTCCACTTCTATGCCTTGGTGTGAGACTCTTCTAGTGTCAGTAGCTGGTTACAGCTGAGAGACTGGAAGAGTCACAGAAAGGCAAAGAAGTGGATGTCCTTGTGAATTTTGCCATTCAGCTTCTTGTTGAAGAACAGCAAGTCCTGCAAAAAGGGGCAGAGACATTAAACGGCATGACATCTTCATTAATAGGTCAAATGTAAAGGTTAGAGGGCAGTTGTTCACTTTACACCAAGTACCGCCTAACACAAAAACTTGTGCTCTCCAAGCATCACTATCATGACCAACAGTAAAATACAGTAACATCGAGTTCATCAAAAACTGTTTTTTTTTTGTCCTAAAACAATATTACAATATTAATATTATTGTAAGCCTCGGTCAAATTAAGCGCAGTTTAAATGTCAACACTGCACTCGGATATCGGGAAAAACTGACTCAATGATTCTATGAAAAGCTGTTGTACATAAAAGTGAAAAATAACTGAAGTGCACTTGGGCAGTGGGTTTTATTTATTTATTTAGTTAGTTAGTTATTTTACGCAGACCAAAAAAAGGGGAATCACACACTTTGAGAATTACACTCGTGGTTAACAGCAAAAATGGCGATGTGTCCCTAAAAGTATTTTTCACGCCTATTTTAAAAATGTCTTTACGTTTGTTTTTCCAGCACAGCAGGTTTTTATGAGATTTTCATTCTTTGGGCAATACGCATTTGACTATGTGTTTCAATTTACAGCTATAATGTTTCTGAAAAAAAAAATCGGGAAAGGCTGATTAAAAATAGTTTTCCTGTTAGGTTCATCCTGTAATTTCACCACAAAACCAAATATCCCGAATTTATTGTGGGTAGTGAATTTTTGAAATGCATTTTTTTTCCAGATGACTTCAGTAGCGTTTTCAAGATTGCTAATGAAAGAGAACCACTTCTCCGTATGTAATTGCACACATTGTAGAGAAGCAGTCTTGTTTGAGTTGGTCTTTGCACCGCTTTATTCTCCTTCAACGTGACACCAGAGACGGGAAGTAACAAAACTTTGGCTTTTAGAGTAGTTTGTAAAACACTTGTCAGTTAGTGCGTGTCTTGTTTTCATCTTCAGCTCAAACGTGGCACCCTTTGTCCACTTACTGTATCTCAGAAACATCCCAGTGCATGACCGCTACTAAAGAGAAACCTACTTTTCGTGATTGTAAAACCTTGGGACTAGACGGACATGACGACTACAGTGGTGCCTCGAGATATGAGTCTGATTCGGTCCCTGACCATGCCTGTCATTCAAAACGCTCATCTCAAATCATCTTTGCCCATTGAAATGAATGAAAATGGCATTCATCCATTCCAGCCCACCCCCCTCTCAAATAAAAAAACAAAACAAAAATGTTTAAAATGTTTGTGATGAGAAAAAGAGCACTTTATAATATTATACTGTACTTCATAAAAACATCCAGTCATACCATCATGAAATAGAATTTACATTCAAACCATTTTTGCCACTTTTTGCATCAATTCAATGGACAATGTGCTGTGCCTTTGGTGTGCTCAACTCAGGCACTTGGGGGCAGTGCAGTAGACATACGTACATACAAAAGATGAATATTGATGAATATTGCCTGTGGAATATGGGTTAAGCAGCAAAATCTGCCCGTTTTTGTCCATCTCAGGGGGCGGCTATTTTCCACCTTCTGTCCACTGAAAATGACATGACAGTTGCTCAAGTAACGACCAATCATGGCTCAGCTTCAGAAAACAGGTGAGGCGCGGTTTGGATTTTGCTGCTTAACTCACATTCCACAAGCGTAATATGAATCAGAATGCCATGTTTAGACTAGTGGAGGCACATAGAACATCTTATTGTCAAGAAAATTTGGGGGTTCCCTTCCTCTTTAAGAATCGATGCCTGTGAGTCCAGATCAGGGCCTACATACAAACTCAAAAGTATTCCGAGAGGTTGCTTGTAAACTGTATTGTTTGTACATCAGGCATATATTAAGTCTAATTTGAAATTTCGTCAAGCCCAACTCTGATGGGCGAAGTGTTGTTGTTTCATCCAGATCCCAGTAGTGGCATGGAATGGTGCTACTCAGGCTTGTGACAGAACTACATTTGGATGTGGCTGTTCACAATCTGGCATTTTATGTACATTTCTGACATCAATTAGGGGTTATTTGTATCGAATGTTCTTGTTCCGGATGTTCATAACTAGGGAACCGACTGTATAGTCTCTATTTCCCATGTGTTCAAACCGGCACTGTACAGGGCTCGTTTTGCAAACTGTTGCATGTAAGTCAAAGCAAGAAAATCAGGTTTGAATCTGGGGGGAAAAAAAAAAGTTGGGGCAGTTGTATCTCAAGGCACCGCAGTTAGTTCAGTTATCATTTAGCTCCTTTGGTTTGCCACAACTACCTTGACGCTGAGATGATTAGCATTCTGCCAACGGATACTGAGCCACTAAAGTTGTTGGGAGGTCACAAGGTCGGAAAGCTGGTGTCCTGAATGTAGTCGAGCAGATAAAAGACATAGAGGTCACCCTGTAACTGATGTCTTCACTTTGAATTCCACTCCAGTGCCTCCAAGAAAGAAAACTCCAAAAATGAGTTGCTTTCATCTTAGTGTTAACATTTTGCGGGGAAGAGAGCAACATTTTTAAGACTTCCCGTGAGAAGTGCGGTCCCCTTTAAGAACAGAAGAATTGTTCTCTCAATTAACTGCAAAAATAACTCTTTAGCACGTCAATATCCTCACAAGATGTTTCCGTACCATAATAATCCAATCTCAAGAGTAGTTCTCCTTTCTCGTGAACTCCCGTTGGCCTGTTTGTGATGTCATCAATGTGAGACATTTGTCAAGTTGTGCTTCTGACAGACATTTACATACATGAGGCGAACCTTGTAAAGGAGGAGTTATGAACAGTTCTTTTATATATATATATATATATATATATATATATATATATATATATTTATTGAGTTTTTTTTTTCTTATTTGTAAATAAATGTTGGATATTTCTCCCTTTGTAGTGGCCATCCCACTGCTTTCTGTATTTTGCCCAATAAAGACTTTAGAATTTAACATGCATGCCTCACTCGTATACTGTATGTAGAACAATGTCAAACGGGCCCCGCAATTGACTGGTGACCAGTACAGCGGAAATTCTGCATCTCGCTGAAAGGGAGTTGAGTGAGAGCTCACCTGCGACCCGAGATGGTAGAAGTGCAGATACTTGTCGAAAAGCGAGTGTGTTTATCATTTTTTTTCTGAAGATTTTTTTGGGGGCTGGGGGTTAAAAAAAAATCTAACATGAATCAAGGGGCCGGTGTGAAGTTTGCATGCACTACCGTGCCTACGTGGGTTTTCTGTGGGTACTCCAGTTTCCTCCCACATTCCAAAAACATGCCAGGAAAGTTGACTGATCACTCTATTATCCCTCCCAATGACTGTGAGTGTGAATGATTAGTGTTTGTGTGCCCTGCGATTGGCTGGCAAGCCGTTCAAGATGGACCCTGCCAACTGCCCGAAGACAGCTGGGATAGGCTCCAGCACGCCTGCAACGCTCCTGAGAATAAGTGGCTCGGGTAATGGATGGATGGATCAATGAGCTACTCTGTGATCACGAGCTGTGTCCCCACACCTTTCCAAAAACAGAAAATAACAATAAAACATTGCGGCAGAGATTTTCTCAATTCATGTTATGCTTTTATTCACATTTCACATCTGACACCAACCGTCTCGCCATACATTCTACAAGGACACATAGCCAGACCAGCCATCTTTAATAATAATAATAATAATAATAATAATAATACTAAAGCAGCATTAAAAGAAACGTTTACATTTTCCTCCCTTCATTACCAGCATCTTTGTAATAAATTCACCTGAATGTAACTTCAATGATTAGTTAAAAAAAAAAAAAACAACAAAGAACTATTGACATCTGAATAAGACTTGCCACACTCAATAATAATAATACAAAGTCCAATGTAAAGAAAAAAAAAAGTGACTCAAGCCTTTTCTCAGAAATGAAACATGATGGGTCTACAGTGTGTGGGTGTGTGTGTGTGTTGTGTGTGTGTGCGCGCACGCGTGCGCAATAGTCATCTGCATTCTCAGTCATAAACGTTTACAGCACTAGAGGTCACGTTTGAATGTCCATTCTAAGCCTTTTATTAAAGTTCCATAATGAATTAGCAGAGCAGCTGTGTCGGTTGTGGTCTTGAAAACAGATCCAGTCTCCTATCTAAAAGTTCTCCAACTTGCCGTCATGTCCTCCCTCTACTGCCATCATTCGCAGGCAAGCACTGCACTGGGGGGTCTCCAGCTCAGAATGCAGCACCAGACACACGATACTCGACGCATACTTGATGAAATGTGTGTGGACCCCTCGACGTGGCTTCCTCGCATGGAAAACTTTGGTCCAAATACATTTAGTGTCCTGTCCAGTGCAACTTAAGACGGAGAAGAAAATCCTTTCATGTTTCTTATTATTGAAGCCCCTTTCAGACATGTAGCTGGTTTCAAGAGGAGCATTTAACATGTGCTCAGTGGAATGTATGAATGATTATTAGGGCCGCGGTGTGCAAACAAATGAAAAGGGTAACAATGAGCACGAACAAGTGGAACTTATGAGACTATCGTCAGAAGACGATGAGCTTGCAAAAATAGATATTTCACATGTTTTTTCCCCCATCCATCTCTTTGCTGAACCGCTCATCCTTCCATTAGTGTGCAAGTGAGCAAGAAACCGTGTTCGTGTATGTGTGCCCTGTGACTGGCTGGCAACCAGTTCAGGGTGTACCCCGCCTCTTGCCCACTCAGCTGGGATTGACTCAAACTCAACCACGGTCCTTTTGAGGATAAGCGCAACTAAAAAAGATGGACGTACATGCAACAGTGATCATCTACACACACACACACACACACACACACACACATACATACATACATACATACATACACACACATACACACATATATATATATATATATATATATATATATATGTATGTATATATATATTTATATATATGGTCCTATTACTCAGTAGTAGTTTTACATGCATTCACGTGCGCGCATGTACGCACGCGCACACATACACACACGCACGCACACACACACACACACAAACAAATGGTGTTCATGACATATCGAGTTAGTCAGTTTTTTTTTTTTGACAGACCCAACCAAAAGTAATGATCAGAGCAGCAGCCTTTTTCAATCAATTTACAAAGTAAATTACCTTCACTGATAATGCATGACAACTGTTGTTGTTTTGATTTCAATGGACCAATAAAACACTACATCGGTCCAAGAATTAAGACTTGATGTGGAAATAATTTTCAAAATCCCATCAGTTTTTTTTGTGTTCTTTTTTGCTGTGCTTCAATGCTTCGGTCTCAATAGATCCATTAGGTCAGTAAGCTACATGACAGCAGCCATGTAAGACATCTGCAAAGGGCAATGCAGATCTGAGCAACATGTTGACGTGTTGAACCCAAAAAGAGCTTTTTGGTCGCTGAGATAAAAATAAAAATGGTGTGCTCCGATTCTCTTGTCGCCTGCACTGGCGCTCGTTCACTCATCCAGAAGGCCTCCAGGGGTGGGACGAGCGTGCTTTCTCTGCACAGTCTCGATTCTGATCCGTAGGTGGCGATAGTGCCCTGCAGCCCACCATGTCAAAAACTGACTTAAAGTCCAAAAATGAACCCAGGAGCAGCTCCAGACGCCGCTTTCCTCGCGTGTCAGTGAATCCATCTGCAGCTCGCTAGCTCGGGACCCGCCGCCTCTTCCGCCTGCTCGGTTTCTTTCAAGCGCTTCCTGCTTTCCCTTCCGACTTCCTGCCGTTTGCCCACCTGCTGCTCGGCTGTGTGAGTCCTCGCGGTGCCAGTGGGTTCTGCTGGTGTCAGTCACTGGTACTGGAGGTAATTTTTGAGGGACTCAGGCAGGGGGAGGCTCTCGATCTCCTGAAGGCGCTCCCGGCCCAACGCTAGGCGGGCCGCACGGCGGCACAGGTCCATCAGAGGTAGAGGCTCCGCTGAAAGAGGAAGTGGAGAGAGGGCAAAGGTTATCAAGGGTGCAGCAGATGGCGACTCCTTGTTGGTTAAAAAAAACAAACAAACAACCAGACACACGCACTCACACCATGAAAATCTTTATATCGGCCTGAGTGGAGCAGATGAGCAATGGGCTGTGATGGTGCACGTTTGGAATATTTCGCCCTTTTCCAATCGGTTCAAATTTTCCCACCTTTGTGCTCAATGGCTTCAAATGAGTGACGTGAAAAAAAAATGGAGCAATTAAAGCATTTCACCATGTATCGAGGGGGACAAACAGTCAAAGAAACTAATATAAAATGAAAACACTCGCAAGGAGCTGCTATTGGAGTGATGTCACTCACGAGGCCACGTCTCTTAAAAGCACACATTAAACATGTAAATTGTTGATGTGATTTTACGCTTGTCCCAATCTACTGCAGTTGCATTTTATAAAACCAGTTTATTTCTTTACATTCTTTATTAGTGTGTGTTGATAAAGTACAGTGCTGTTGTTTCCTCATGAATTAGTTTTTTTTAATTAGGGTGGAGCGGATTACAGAAAAAAAAGTCAATTCCCAATGAAAGCTTGTTTTTTTTTCGTGGGGGAACTCCTCAATTTTCAGTTTTTCTGCTCAGGGCAAAGCAACAAAATGAGTACATGGCGCCATCTTGTGGAACCTCTCGTGAAGATACACAACTTAGCTAACGGATGGATTTTTGTTTGTAGTCTTTTGAGGTGAAACTAGTAGTCGTTTCTGCTCCTCCCTCGATCTAGCACCAGGATAACCCGTTTAAGTATATTTTGTCATTGCAATTTATTATTTTGGGCGAATGGCAAAAGTTGAGTTGTTGTTTTTGTCAAGTGCAAGTGAGCACAATAGCTCATGTGTGATGTTACGTCAGTGTGTGCTAACCTATTAGTGTGCTAGCAAATGATATCAATGAGCCTCATGAGTCATTTAACCACAGTCGTTTACGTAACATGATTGTGTACGTTTTCGTGCGCACGGAGTTGATGCTTTATGGCCTTTTGTGCCGTCCTCCTTGGCTTATCCCACCTGTCTTTGGACGAAATGCAGACTTCACCCTCATAAGAGACAGACAAGCATTCACACCACGACACTGTGAAGAGCTTATTCCTGTTCCAATAGAGGTGTGTGAAATGCCTCCACATAACAAAGAGAACAAACTGCCTTGTTTGGGATCTCGTGATGATGTCTTGTGATGTGTGTGCGCGCGTGCGTGTACGACCAGTCCTTAAATCCTTCCACCTGATGAAACTTGGACTGGAGTTGCAGAACACACGCACGCAGCTGAGGCGACAATCGAGGTCATTCAACGGAGCATGCCCAAAGATTCAAAGAGTGGCGGCAAGGCAGGGATACGCTTCTTCAATCAATGGCCGTGGAAATGTGAGCTTAGGAGAAGACTGGGAGAAGCACACACACTCGCAGCATTTCTCAAAGATTTACAGGAATGGAAAGTGGATTTATCAGCGCACTACCCGGAAGCGTGCGGCATGTTAACTTGACCGCCAGAGCTAATGCAGCATAAATAATTCATATCGCGCAACAAATAAATGCCATGTGGTGTGACTATATTTGCTGCCTCATCTTTCATGTTTATGTGCCGGTGTGCTTGTTATCTGGCTGGTTAATTAATTCCTGGTTTGTGGAGAGGGACTGAGAATGATGGTTCAATTAGAGGTCCATAAAGCACAATATCACCCAAATGGCAGAATGGACGATTTCTCCAATCTTTACTGAGCCATGGCAAACAGTTTACAAGTGGAGAACTTCACAGCACGCGCGCAAACACCAAAGTATTGTTGCATCAACATTAAATGATGATGATCCTGTCTCAGTTTACTCACAAATGTAGTTATTCGGATTTTAATGGTGGCCCTGTTTTGTCGAACACAGAGCTGTTCTTGTGCTGTCTGAATGGCAACGGGTGCCTGCACAGCTTAATTGATGCTAGTTTCCGCAATCGAGTGGAACAGCATTTCATTGTTTTGCTTATCAAGCTGTCAGTTGGACAGTATTAGACTCCAAAATTAGAAGACACACGCACACACACACACACATTTGACATATATATATATATATATATATATATATATATATATATACATATATATATATACATATATATACATATATATATATATATATACATATATATACATATATACACACACACACACAAAATTATCATGTTAATTGTGAATAATTAATTTGTGATATTAGGCGCATTGTTTTTTTAATAGCGTTAATCTAATTTTAATCTCTAACTTTTTTGTTTGTGTAGGTGGGTTGTCTTTTTATAATCCCCCTTTTTATGTGTTGGCTTCCTGTGTTCGAGTTGTTGAGGGTGGGAAACAATGGTCAGTCACAGCCTGAAACGGACATTGATTGGCTGTAATTATGTTTGGGCTTGTTTAGCATAAACTGATAGACTCCCATTGGAGTTGGGCGGGATTAGTAAAAAGCGGTGAGGAGAGGAGAGGTGAACATGGAGGAGCATGTGAGAGTTCTCGACCCAATAAATGGAAAATTTACATTCCATAAAACGCCCTGACGGCATTACTGATAAAGGGAGAGTGTTGTGCCTAATTTGTAAGAAAGAGTTTGCTTCCCACCGAAGCAGCTCAAGTTTAGCCTCCCACATCAATGCAAAGCACCCAGTCTCGAGTGCAGCCACAGCTAACGTTAGCATCGAAAGCGTTAGCAATAGAGCGAGCCATAGCAAAGCTCTTCACCAAACTAAACTCGGGAAGAAGAACACCCCGCATACGAGGTATGAAGTCAGCATAGCTGCGGTGCCCTCTGTACCCTACTAGAAGCGATTGATGTTTATTTCAGCACTTGTGAAAGCGCTATATAAATCAGGATGTACAGTAAATATTCCCATCCCCGGAATTCTATGAAAAGGAATTTCCTTCACCCGGAACAAAAACCTGTGCATTAACATTTTGACTACGATATTACATGTTACCGGAACTTACGTAGCTGTTGTGTGGCAAAATATTTTTCTCGCTGTTGTTGATAGACAGTAATATTGTGTGAGTGATTATGTGTGAATAACTGCTCCAAGTGAAAAATGTTCATGTAAAATTGAAAATCGAAATTGTTGTTTCAGTAAATATTTGCATTTTGCACATAGAAAACTGATCCATGATTCCATGTTGATGAGAGCATTAAAATGGGAAAAAATAGGACAAAAGAATATAAAGGGAAATTCAGAAACGATAAAAAATGTGTAATCACGATTAATTATGAGTTAATTTGATTTAATTATGACAGTTGCGTTTTTAATTCGATTAAATATTTTAATCATTTGACAGCTCTAATATGTGTATGTGTGTATATATATATATAAACTCAAAAAGCCTCT